ATGAATTGTACCATAAAGCTGACTGGTAGAATAAATTCGTGTGAACTTATTGCAATTATTGCTAAATTAAAGATTTATTATTTAATGACTAGTAGTATCATCTGGAATTAGAACACTTTATCTTTGTTACGTTTGAGTATCATCAATCCAGAAATACATAAACTATAGACTCATAATTTGATCCATTCACAATTAAACGATTTTTGCGGTATGATTTGACATGAAAGCGTAAGTTTATAAATCGATATATGAAGCAATCTTAATCAGGCTCATCACTCTAGATAAGAAAAAGCATTTCAGAACTATAATTGTCAGCTATGATTAAAATAAAGGTGAACTGTGTCGTATTAAATCATTAGATGTTTAATATAGAACCTGTGCAGAAATGAAGCAGCATACAACAATCTTTTTCACTTACCATTAACCTCATTACATAAAGAGATAGAAAACATTTTGTTATTTTCATCTGATATCCTTCTTGATATACTTTAACACAAAAAAGATTCATAACATACTATCACAATCTAACCAGATCATATTTATCAAATAGCATTGGTATGCAAACCTAGTCGATTACTCGCATCAAAAAGGTTTTCGTTTCCCAGTATTTTAATAGTTCATGTAAATTTCATAAATATGTATACATGTGCTTAAACAGTTCATAATACATAGTATAATCCTTTCAGAGTTAGCAGAAACAGACATAAAACTTCACATGAAAGATTATCCTACATAATTATGAACACTATGAAAAAATGATGAAGCTCTTAAGATAAAAGTAATTACCAATTATCTGACGTTTGAGAATACAAATAACATATTTTCAAATTGATTACGATTTCAAAATACACTGGTCTGTTATTTTTTAAAAGAAAATGAAAGAGAAAATTTGGACACCATTACTAGAATTTTGACGCCATCATGGAATGAAACCCCACTTTATATTATTGTCACCGGCAAACATCATTTGTACACACCGAACATCATTTTGCTGTCAAACAATTTGTGATTTAACGTTAGTAACCATAAATATTATTTATTAAATCTTACTACATAGAATAATAAGAAGAATTATTCAGCATCCATTTTTAGCAAACGGACAGTATCTTTCGAAAAAGGAAAAATAACTAAAGCGGTGCTCAATGATGATTTTATAAATAGCTTTTTAGTTGCCGATCATATCTGACAAAACTCATTCAAGTAACTAAGTACTCTAACAATAAACAATGAAGTTAAGTAACTGATAATAATTTAAAGGTATCCACCAAATTAATATCTGAGTTTAAATTTTGCCCATAATTTTTCATTCAGTCTGTAAATGACGCAAACTAGCATCCCAAAATATTTAAAGGTATCACTGGAGTCATGAAATATCATTAACCTCAAGTAAATACAGTACCCAGCATTTGATTGCTTTCAAGAATGCATTTATAAACATAAATAAACAAATAATCCATTATCTACAAAAGACTGTTTACTGTTTTTCTAAGTGACCAAACTGATCAGTGTAATCGTTTTCATCTCTATAGATATATGTTATGGAAATGTTGCAAAATAAAATGCTTCGGTGTAATTGAGAAAAATTCCGGAAAATTCCATAATTCGTTTAATGCATACTTACATAAATAACGGATGAAATGATAAACAGAACAGATGACAATATCCTATAACTGGAACTGGTCACTGTTTTATTTTTCTTGTATTTCAAGTTGTACGTCAAGGTAGCACAGTTATTTTACATTTTTTCTGTTATTTATAACTGTTGTAGTAGGAATAAAAAAATCAATAAACTTAGCACGTGAATATTTATCATGTGGTACTAGTTTTTTTACACAAATGGTAGTTTTTTGGGCTTTACCAAATTCCGATTCAGCAATACCAATGATAAATCTAGGTTCTTTCCAGTGATACTGACTGACAGAGTAGTGAAACCACTGAAGCTAGTATGAAGTATACATGAAGTACAGAAATGCATTCTATTTATGTCCAGTTAGACAGAGATTATAGGTGTCTACAACTACGGCTAACAAGCTGTAACTATTTCGGTCACAAAATCTACAGTCTGTGAAGTAGCATAAATATTAAATTGTCTGGTTAAAATCCTGGCTATACTTAGCAATTTCAGTAAGTTATCCATAAATCATTGACCGTATATTCACCAACATGAAGCTGCAGTCTTATAGATAACTAGGACCTTTCTACCACATGATTAGGTGTTATCTTGAAACTGTTTTGATGTACAGCCCACCATCAGCAAATGTTAATTGTAACTACATAAAGCCGCTTTAACTTCTGAGCTAAACGGCAGAACGTGGAGTTTAAAAATCTAGAAATGTAGAGAAGCCCCAATTTTTTCACGACATTTGCAGTTTTTAACAGATAATAAAATGGAATGTAATTCTAATTCTCTTAATTGCTTAGCAGAAAGCCTAATCGAAAGCAGTTAAAAAAAATCTCATAGTAATTCACTTGATATTGTTTTACTTGAATCTTCCCATTGATGTTTAGGATTGAAATTGATCAGTCTCTTATTGGCATATGTGCATACTGTGCGTATTGCCTCGATATTGCCTTAATTTACAAGCATTATAAGCAAAGTTTGATAGTGGCTAGCAGTGGAATCCAGGACGCGTGTTTCGTCCTATTTGCGACTCGTCAGCTGGATGTGCCTGCATCTCAGAGTTGATGTTCACTCTGGGACTCGAACTCAGTAGCGATCGCTTCAAACGCCATCGCGTTATCCACTTAGCTATTGAGTCCTGATAGCCACTTGCTTGTGCGATGGGGTGAGCAAGTGGTTATTTGAACTCAGTAGCTAAGTGGATAACGCGATGGCGTTTGAAGCGAACGCTACTGAGTTCGAGTCCCAGAGTGAACATCAACTCTGAGATGCAGGCACATCCAGCTGACGAGTCGCAAATAGGACGAAACACGCATCCTGGATTCCACTGCTAGCCACTATTAAACTTTGCTTATAAAATCTCATGGTATTTATTTAAACTTTACTGGTGGGAATAATAGTTTAAATGTGTACCAACCAAGTCATATGCATACCTAAAATGATGAGAACATTTGATATACGTGAATCCAAGAACATAAAATATGGGAAAGAATTGATACAAAATCATACCTTATAATCCTGATTGATTAATCGATAATAACACATTCATGTCTTAATGTTAGTAAACCCAAAATAGCAATTACATTTCTTTGGTAGGATCACGTGTGAACATAATTTGTTCTCCATGTGTGAATATGTATGTCAAATACTCACAAGATAAGCTGAAACAACTCGACCTTCATAATTTTGAGTAACCAAATTTAGCATTACTAGTAGGAAGTGCTTCAAACAATACACTAGTAATAACCAAAACAAAAATGTGCTGGAATTTCAAATATAAATGTTGGTAAATTATTGAAGTGAACAAAAATAGGTGATAGCGATTTTCACTAGAAAACTGTTCATGTTCTAAAACAAATGTTCATCATGTGAGACAATTGGTAGATCATGGATTTCATTTATCTTACCAATCAGTAGTTCAGTACATAAAAGTGTTCTGAAAAACACAATTAACGACAGACTTAAATACTACTAATCAATATGAGTAATATAATGTTTTGCTAAGCGATAATGATCCAGGTTAACTGTGTACAAAACTTACTATAGTCTATTTTTCAATAAGAATTTTACTGACGGTAATATACACTAATTCTTAGGTTTTTTAAAAATAAAACTCATTATCTTAATTACACTCTTTGGGATTTTGCTAAGTTGGTAACCACCATTATCAATGTCTGTTCCTTACTTGTTTTAAACTGTCATATTTCCAGTAGACTAAACAAAAGTATAGTAGTGGTAAAAATAGTTTTAAATGTTGAATAAGTGCACATTAATTAATAATGTTAGTATCACTATGCAACTATGACGCAATTACAAAAAAGTAATCGAACATAAATATTCTTTGATAAAACTAGCTGCGTCTAGATGAAACTGATGACAAAAGAAGAATTGTGAACGGTAATGAATGTGGTGAAAACACATACTGTTATACAGATACAGTACAAGTATAGGTTAGTGAAATACAATGAATAAAAACAAACAGTTTTTAAGCAAATGAATTTTCAGGTAAAACACATAAAATGAAAGCAATAAAAATGACAGTGTGCACCAAAAACAGTAATAATAATACTAGTATATAATATATATATATATATATATATATATATATATATATACATTAATAGTAGGTGAAATGTAAACAAACAAAATATTTGAATTATAATCTATTCATTTATAGATACATAATACCCACACGTAAGAGCACATATAAACATCGGTATTATTATTAAAAGGATAAGCAAAGCACTAGGCGCTGACACAGACACATGAAGTTACACATTTATAGCGTTAAATTTTTTATCAGTCACACCACAATAGTTATCAATGCATCAGAAGAAACAGTAAGAAACAATAAACTCTGCTCTAACTACTCACGCAAGCCGATTTATATGCACACACATTTAAACAGAGACAGACGCTGTAAGAAATGACAGTATGATGAAATCAAAACTAGTTGAGACCATTACACAAACACACGAATACAAACATATAAAGAAACGGACAATGAGTGTACTAGCAATGGAAATGATGTCTCAGTCTTCTTCCAAACATAATATTGGCAAGATAGTATACTTACTAAAAAATGAAGCACCAAAATTTGTTTTCTTTGTTTAATGCACATGGATAAACATGATCTCATTGTATGAGTATAACTACCAAACATACATACATACAAAAACACAACTCAACTAATCAATTAACCAGCTAATGTTAGGATAGCAATATAATTAGGTTATTATAATTTTTAATAAGATTTAAATAATCATAGGTAGTTAGTTCAATTATTAATTATTGGTAAATGTTTATCAGTTGAGAAGAAGCATACTGACACAGATAAACACACAAAAGTAGAAAGATTACTCAACAAACCATGTCATACCATTTAGAACAGCCAATTCCATTAACTGTAATTGTTTCAATCTGTCCTCATTTTCTGGCTATAATAATTATGAAAAATGAGAAAGCAAGTTAAATAATCCTACTACTTTTCAAATAATTTATCTATGTAATGGTCTTACAAACAGATATTTAAAGAAGAAGAAATTAAATAATAAATCCGTTTTCCCACGTTTGTATTTTCGTTATTATTTTCATTTATTCATTAGACAAACAGGAGTTAAAACTAGTTAAATATTTATTTATAATTCAGAATTCATTTATCATCTCCTTCATTCTTTTGAAATCAAATCATTCACCATTAGTTTCTACTTTCTCCTCACAATCATTATGTTAACATTGATAAGTATAGTCACATATAATGAATATCCAGTGTTGGACAGATGGAAAGATAACTGATTTCAGAATACTTTTTCTTGACTTTAAGAATAACTTGAAAGTTGTGACTGTAGAACATGACAAACAATTTCACGTTTAGTAGTTAATCAAAGTGAGAAATACGTTTTTTATTTACTTTCCACTTCGCACAGCTAAATAAACACCAACTGTAATAATTTATGATACACATGTATTCTTCAAACTTTACTTCATTCATGGGTCCGACAACAGCATTTTTGTAAAATTACCATACTAAACAGCATTATGTATGTGGCGTTACACAGCATGGACTGAAACTCAATCATCGATAAAACCATTGATCGTATTATAATAAAAAGCATAGAATATATGGAAATTCGAAATAGATTTTCATCTCAACAAACTTTTGCATTATTCATTAATTCTATCATCAGTCAATATTTCTGTGTGTTCTGTGAGTTCATCAGAAATATAACGACGGTAGTTTTTTAGTAGTGTGTTACAAACATATTTAGTGAATCGGAACAGAAATTGGTTCTATTATAGTTACAAACAATAAAGATTTACGAAAAAATAGCAATAACTGAACAATAAATGCTCTAATAATTAGATATCAGAACAATGTATATAACCGAAGTTGGCATTCACTCCAATCGCATTACTGTGACACTTTACAACTTCAACAAGTTTAATCATATCAGGAACTAGAAAACATTAGTACACATTATAAACATTGTGAATCAAATGTTATCCACTTGTAAGCCTTCTTTCTTGAAAGTTCGGTACGGCAAGCAACAGTATTTTTTTCCGTTTATTATGATTTCATGAGACATTCCCTAACCTTATAACTTAAATGAATAGATTATCCTTTTTCCTGCTCATTTCTGAAAGTAAAGGCAAAAATCTTATTATCTTTGAGGCATACACTTGAAATCGAAATTGTAGAGATAGTATAACTTTTTATTGAATGAGCCCCATAGTCCTTCAGATCCAATAGGATTAGAATGTATTCCTACTATTTATCGTTACAATCATACATAAAATTTACCAATATGAGATAAACAATGGCTTAATTCTTATAATTTATATCGATCATTTGTACATCCATAAAATCAAGAGAGATCTAGCCATCTTCGTCTTTAAAAATGAGATGATTCCGAGCGTTAAATGTTTACATTCCAAATACCAATCCGGTAAAGTGTACACTGAAGGCGAAGTAAAAGAAATATTTAGTAGCCGATCAGTTCAAAGTACCGTTAAGAATAAAGGCCGTAAGTTAATAATTGTTTGTAAAACTAGGATTTATCTGAAATATAATGATAGATAAAATCATCGTCAAGATCTACAGATATTAGAAAAGAGAATGATAAAACGGGAAAGGTAGTAAATAGTGATGTAAATATTAAAATATTAAGAGAATCATCACCTTGATGAAATTTTCTAATGTTTGATACGGAAACTTCAGTTATTAATTACTTGTATGAATAACTGACTCCTGCCATGTAAAAAGTAGATTTAAACAGTTATCGTGAACGCGAAAAATACGTACTTTTAATTCAGCGGAAAGAAAAAGATTGCTCCCAGTGTACAAAGCACTTTCAAATCAACCCAAGTTAACTATGACTTTATCAGTTTATACTGACATCTACTTTCAGTTTTAATTTTAGTACAATAATTAATAGAAAGATTAAATTACAGTATAAATCTGAACATCATAAACCTAATGATGATATTGGAATACTTACTAAAGATCTTTTCACTTTTAATTATCATTTCTACTAACAACAACGGATAGAACGCTAAAACGTTCTCCATCTTGAAACCATAACTTTCTTAATTGAGCGTTTACGGGTTTAAATTTTATTGAGAACACCAGTCACCGAAACTTAGTTACAGCCATAGAATTACTTGAACAATGGTTTTCATCACTGGATACCACTAAACAAATGATAACCTGGTAGCAATATCTATGTTGAAAACATGTATTGATAACTTTTATTGCATCATATCACCACATTATTGGTAGAAATTCCTATCTAGCTATTTCACACCATATTCTGATATAATAATTCATTTAACTGATGACCAACTTGAATAATTCCAGCCTAAAATACAAGACATTCTTCATTATTTTAATCAGTTTTTTATAATGATAGCAAATCCATGTTATCTTATTGCTCCTAAAGTATACTAAAAGTATCTTTGACTATCGATGTTTACAACTTGGGAATTAATCTAGAATTGATAGAAACAGTCAAGTTTTTGTTAAAATGTGTTGCTTTTTGGATAAAAATGTACAGCAATTATAATATTAATGTATTGTTATTATCATTACGAGTCATGCAATTTTAAGCTATTTTAAGAACATGAACTTATGATTTAACGTTTTGTGCCATGATTTCAAATTATTCATTGCAAGTGTCTAATTCTGATTTATAGCATTGAGAGTTTATTGAAATTACTAAACTACCCAATTTAGAAAACCACTGAGAATCTCAAAGCACTAAATATCAGTGTCGTCCCGGTACAGGAATCCTCAGCAGACAATGCAAGACGGTTATGCCGTACCGATGGTTCATTTGAGTTAGACATGTAATCACAGTATTCTGGCTCGGTGATCTAAATGTTAAGTTCCTGGATTTCAGCCCAAGTGAGAATATAAATGCGCGTTGCTGAAAAATTCCACAATAAGATGAAACAGCTTTCCAGTGCTTTCAGATATTCAGTGTGTTGTTTAAGTTCGGTACGGTTGTGATTTTAGTAGCATCCACCAGTTTCTAGAGACTAGGGAATTTGAACAATAATTTAACTAACAATTAGTTAGGTGAGTAGATATCCTTTGAAAAAGTGAGGTTATTTTTCAGTGTTGATAAATCATTACACCGTAGTGAGTTAAATACTAATCTGAACATGATATTATATGTATCTCTTTATTCAGTTACAGAATAAACTTGTTTTACTTCCAGCTTTGCTTTAAGTAATTCATTTGTCCTTTGAGAAATTTTGGGGTTCCTTCTTTATTGGTACTTACAGTCACATTTATGTTATTAGTTCATTTAAGAAGAAACTTATTCTTTTGTGAATTATGAATATGAAAAAGGTCTACAGAAACTTACTACATTTGTCAATAAAACATTGTGTCATTCATTTATCACATGACAAACGACTTCGTATTATATACATTGTACATCATAATCTGTGACATATATATGTATATATAATGACAGAGTAAAGCCTACTGTCAGCAAATCACAGTATACTTAACATATGTGCAACATTCCATTTATTTTATGAATTATTTTTCAAGGTAATAAATCTCATTTAAAAGGTATGGAAACACTAGGTTTTTTAAATGTCTCAAACATATGACAGTTTGATATGAAAAAGCCCTTTACGCAAATATTGACTGGTGTTCGATACAATGCAAAGATAGTATGAGTCAACCTAATAGATAAATAAAACAGACAGTCTACATCTTATTATAAATAATATCTCCACAAAACTATTAAGATATACAAATGATAGGGTAAAGTTATTTATTATTAGTTCTAGAGTACACCAAGACAACAAAGTAATTTGAAACTATGTTGATCGGTCTAGAGTAGATTTCATAACACTCAAGTTTGAGTAAAGTTTTCAATTATTTTTTATAAGGATTAAAGTGATTAATGGTTAAGTGTCATTGATAAAATAACGCTTCTTTAAACTTTATAAAAATTATGAAATAAGTAGACAGTTTAATGTGAACATCTTTCGCATCAATACATTTATGTAAAACCAACTGGTTATAAAAACAAAGAGTTAATTCCAACCAAACCATACAATGATTGCACTAACTGACACGACTTTATTCTGAATAATGCTTAATTACTTATACAATCAAACATTTAAAAATTCTTAATTCTCAAACTGATTGGAGAAAATGTAAAAACATAGAAAAGATAAAACTTCTCAAATTGTTATGCAGCATTAAGAATACTACAGTATTCAAATACATCTGATGTGAGCAGAATAATTAGAGAAAAGAGGATACTTACCATATGGAAACACTATAAGTTTCGAATTCTTCTTCATGTCACTTGCTTAATTTTGATGTTTACTAAGCTAATTAACATGCCAGTAAGATATACCACATCTGTTATGAAATAAAGACAAACAATAGAAGGCATAACATCTAAACTCAGGAAGACAGAAAATGACTGTTTGTAAGGTTAGAGGCGCGCATCATCTATGAGCCCGAAAAAGACGAAACACAAGTTATTCTAAAACATCCTCAGTAATCCTCCTGACCAATTCAATCATTGCATTGGTCAAATTATCAGTTCTATTAATCTTTACTATGTATAACCATATTAATAATGCATGTGCTCATAAAAACGAAAAGAGTTTAACTCAGATCATTTTACGAAATATTTAAGGTAAGACTAGACAATCAGTCACTCATATACTATCATATTGATTCCTAACATATTAAAATTCGTATCTATTAAATCAAATATAGAGGAAAGGGATAACACTGAAGAACTTAGTACCTTACTTAAAAAGTGAAAAGGAAATACCTAATACAAAAGTACTTTACGAAAATCTTATAGTCACTAAAGTAAAATAGACAATTTGCGGAAAAATTGTAGACACATATTCCCCAAACTAGAAGAAACATCTATTCCAGAACAAAGAAAATCCA